AGCCACCGCGCTCCCGTGAGAGCTGACCCAGAGGTACGCGTGTTGGCCGTGACCAACCAGCGAACTGCCAGCAGCTCCGGGTTCCGATTCGGTGCCACCCTAGGCGGGTGACACTGTTCACCCCGCGAGCCGCCTCGTGGGCCTGCCTCGGGTTTCCTTCCTTCAGATTCAGGACCCAGAGCGATGGCGCTAAGGATCCCTCCTCCTCCGGTCCGCCTACCGAGGGGAAAGACTTCCCTCGGGTTGGCGCGCTAGCGCCCGCGAGATACCTTCAGGGATCTCTCAGTCCTCGCAGGCGAGGGCCGCGGCTTAAGGACATTCCTGCCCCCGACCTACTAAGGAGGAATTACGACTATTGTCCACCTCATTCTTCGGCCGTGACCGCAGCACCAAGCGGCGGGACCCGATCCTTCCCGTCTAGGTATCCAGGTATACACACCGGTGTGTGCACCCTGCGCGAAGCCAGAGCCCCGTCAGCCACAGGAGGGGTACTCCTGTGTTACCGACTCACACCACGAGGAGGTGGGGTTGGCACATGGGCCCGGTGGCCCTTCTGCGAGTCAACACAAAGACTCCTATAAGCTCTGTAAGTTTTTTTTTCCAGTAAGGATAGAGAAAACTGTTTAAAAATTTGCTATTTTTGCTGACTTTTCAATATTTAACATGTTTTTTTCCTTCTGTCATATATCATATCTATATCAGGACATAGAAAATAACAGTAATAAAGAAGACAATGCCTCCACTGATGAATCTTCATATTCAAGTAGTGATGAATATAACAAGGAGGAAAATAAAAATAACACAACGTCAGAGTCTAAGAAACTTCGCAAGGTATATAAATGAAGAACATAAAATTAATTTTTTTTAATCATATTTGCGTCCATTTAAGTTTTTAAATGGCGTTTATATTTTGTAGTTGGCTGCTGAATTGGCCGTTAAATTTGATATTCAAACTCTAGAAAAATTAGTTTCCTTTGGGCCAAAAGCCCAAATTGTCATGCAGCCTAGACTTGAGAATGAAATAATTGCTTCAACTGAGAATGATGATGACCCCAAGATATCGAGATCTGAACTTGAAAGCAAATACCTGGAATCTACTGAAATGTCTAAAAATGAGGTTAAAATATCTGGTTCTCAATCCCTTGTGACAGAGTTTGCTGATAAATCTCAACGAGGACTTGCTAGCTGCAGTATAGACACTACGCAGATTATCAATGTGAACAATACAGTTCCTATGATAAAAATTTCTGGATTGAATAATATGTTCAGTGGAAGTATGTTTCTTGTCAAGGATCCTGCATTGGTACGTACAGTTTCATTTTGTGTGACAGACTGTTTTGCATTTTTTATAACAAAATATGTATGTATAAACTTTTGTTGCTGTACACCTGCTGTTAATTTTATTATATTATGAAATACTATAGTCTAATGGTTTTATTGTTAGGGAACTGCTTTGAATGAGGCCAAATCCATATATTGTTTACAAGAAAAATATACTCAAGCAGAAAATGCCACGTCTGCTACAATGGCTGGTCGTAGACTTTTGGATGGAGTTTTTACTACTGAAGCCTTAGCTGTATGCTCCCTATCAGGGATGCCACCTAGAGGTAAAGGAAAATCAGCATACGCAGATAAATCCTTGATTAAACCATACCTTTGTCCCAAGGGAGTGACTGCTATCATAGGTAAGTTATCAAGTCCCTGAATAGACTAATATATCTGTCTTTGATTTAAAGGGAATGGATACGTGACAGTTTAGTTCATATATATGCTGTCGTATATTTTTTAATACATTTTAAATTAATTTTTTCTTTCAGATAAGGCTTTGCAATTCCAGAAGATAAAACACTGGCGTCCAAAGAAAGATTCCAGTCAAATTAGGCAAGCAATGGCTGTACGAATCAACGAAGTAGCGAGTCAGTATGCTAAAGAAAAATCAAAATAACTATGATTAAACTATGATTTTTCTTTTTATCGTTATTTTTGCAAATCATTCCTTATCTAATCATTATTTTTCATTATTATTTTAAGCAAAAGCTGGCAGTTTTTGTCTTATGGACTATAATAACTTTGTTTAGCTCTTGATCATTTTACAGTTAAATAACTTTAGTCCCCGCAGTGGAGGAGCGCCACGTTGGTACTCCTTCAGAAGGAGGGGAAGGATGTCTCTCTCCCGTCGGCGTATAGGCCTATATGCCTTCTGGACGAGGCGGGCAAGCTGTTTGAGCGCTTGCTCGTTAACCGCCTCGCCCAGCACCTGTCCCAGACGGGCCCCAACGTCAGCGGGGCCCAGTTTGGATTCAGAGAGGGCCTGTCAACGGTGGACGCGATCAAACACGTTCAGGCCCTCTCTGAGGAGATGACGTCCCGGGGGGGGGGGGGATGTTGGCTGTATCCTTGGATATTTCCAACGCTTTCAACACCCTCCCCTGGAGACATATCAGGGAGTCGCTCCGACGCCACGGGGTACCGCCGTACCTCATTCGCGTCGTGAGCGACTACCTAAGGGACAGGTGGGTCGAATACATCGACCAAGGCGGAGTACGCCGGCGGGAGAGACTGCGCCGAGGAGTGCCCCAGGGTTCCGTGTTGGGACCATTCCTTTGGAATCTGGGGTATGACTCGGTGCTACGAGTTCCCCTCCCCCCCGACTGTCACGTCGTCTGCTATGCAGACGACACACTTGTGACGGCCGGGGGCTGCAATTGGAGTGAGTCCCTCTCCAGAGGAGAGGTGGCAGTGGGAGCGGTCATAGGCTCCATCCGCAGTCTGGGCCTCGAGGTGGCACTTGGCAAGACCGAGGCCGTGATGTTCCACGACGGAGCACACGGCAGGGCTTGGAAAAAGCCACCCGAGGGACTATCCCTGACTGTGGATGCAACCCTCGTCGGGGTCAGTCACGAGATGAAGTATCTCGGACTGACGCTCGACGACCGATGGAGCTTTGAGAGCCACCTTGCCGGAGCGGCCGTACACGCTCGGGAGCGGGCGACCACGCTTGGTCGTCTTCTCCCCAACCTGGGCGGCCCGGACGGCAAGGTGCGTCGGCTGTACGCAAATACGGGTCAGTTCGGTAGCGCTCTACGGGGCCCCAGTTTGGGCCCCGAAACTCGCGGCATCGAGGCATGCGCGCGCCAAGATGGCGCGTGCCTTTCGCCCGATTGCCGGGAGGATCGCGAGAGCCTACCGGACCGTTGCGTACAACGCGGCGGCGGTGATCGCCGGTCTCCCCCCAATGGAGATCGTGGCGGAGGAACATTACGATATGTTCCTCGAAAGCCGCGACTCAGGGGGGAGGCCGATCAGATGGGCGGCGAACCACCGTGCTCGGCAAAGACTCCGGCACCGGCGGCGCGCAATCGCCAAATGGCGAGAGGTGTTAGTAGCCTCGGGGAACAACACCCCGGGGCTGCGCGTCGTCGGGGCAATCGGGCCCCTCCTCGACCAATGGGTCGATAGAGGATGGGGCGGGTTGTCCTTCCGGATGACTCAGGTGTTGACTGGCCACGGGTGCTTCGGCCACTACCTGAGTCGGATCGGAAGGGAGCAGACTCCCGGCTGCCACCACTGTGAGGCCGTGGACGACACTGCCCAGCACATGCTGGCAGAGTGCCCCGCGTGGGCGGACGAGCGGGCAGTGCTCGTCCACGAAGTAGGGCAGGACCTCTCCCTTCCAGCGGTGATTGCCGCCATCCTGGAGGAAGAGAGGTCCTGGCATGCATTTGCCTCCTTCTGCGAGAGAGTCCTCTCACAGAAGGAGGCGGCGGAGCGTGAGAGGAGGGGTGAGGTGCCCCTTCTCCGCTCGCCACAACGACGGCGGCGGCAGCGTCCGGCACGCGGACGTCAACCGCGGGCCCGGCCTGCTGCGGGGGATGGAGCGGGGACCAGTGGAGGACGAGCAGGCGGGGGAACACTATCACCCCCAGCCTCCCCCCCGTTGACGCGGAGCAGAGCGAGATTGCTCGCCCGCGCCTCTGCTCCCGCTCCGCCCCCCACCTTGTTGCCGCCTGTACCGCCATGACGGGCGGGGGAGGGGTCGTCCGCAAGCCCGCGGATGATACCCCTCCCCCTCTCGCGGCGGACAGATCACCGCGCGGATAGCGGTGAGGCGTAGGCCCTCCCCCAACGTCACCGGGGGGAGGGAGCGCGAAGGCCCGCCAGACCAACGCACAGTGGTCTGGAACGGACAAACACTTGTTGAAAATAGGCTACAGGTCGTATTTCTTAACCGATTTTAATGTTTCTTGAACAGAAATACTCGGAAATAAATTCTGAAGAGAACTGTGAGAGCCGAATTTTGATTTTTTGTGTTGGTGCAAAAATATGTAAGAAAAAATGTGTTAAACTAGCACTTTTCGACTAAATTATTTTTTATCTGACTCCAAGCTACTTTTACAACCTTACTATCGATGAAAATCAATACTGTCCCATCATAAGAAACAAAATAATTCAATAATAATTTAACTTAATTGTTATTAACAAATTATTCAAAGAAATTATGGTTCCCCGTGCTTTATCACAGAAATAATAAGTTTATTAACTTAATTGGTCTAAAATTACTATAATAATGATTTCTAACAAAACTTGATTGTAAACTAACAATATCCATTATTATAAACAATCAAATAAACAAATAGTAATTTTTAGATTCCTTATTTCAGGGTATTTTAAATATATGAATTAGTTACACGTAGAATTATGAGTAAATAGTATCACGAGACACGGTAGTGTCTCGCGCCAAGTGTAAGCGTAGCTAGTACACGCGTGCGAGACCGACCGTGTAAGTTTACGCGAGTACACGAGTTGACGGGCCCTCAGATTTTCGGATCTCAACAACGGCTGATCCGACGAAATTGAGACTGCGCTTAATCGATAGCTTGGGTACGATTTGCATAATAAAAGTGTTTT